TTTGAAACTGCATTTCAAAACTTTCAAAACAAGTCCCCTTTCACTCAGCGTGGTAAAGAGAGGGCTCTCGGGAAATTTTGTGATCCTCTCGTTTCAAATTACGAAATCTGTCTTATTATACAGGAACATCGTCTAGTCGATTTTTTTTGTATATTTAGAAATCTCTCAAAACCTATTCGCTCTTGCAATAGATATGGCTTCCAAATAGCAAGGAACGGCAATATTAGCGGTGTCTTGGTGAATTCCTGTATAATGAGACAAAGTTGCAAAGTAAGCTACACAAAGTTGCAGCTTCCTCAAATTGTTCATCGCACAGCCAGTTGCAAACGTAAAATTTTTCACATCAAATTGTCAGTACGATTCCATCCATATAGATTGTAATTAAAAGGCCGATAACAGCGCTGTGTTGACATTTTATATATGTATCGTTTAGCTAAAAACTTTGATTGAGTGGGCTAGATCACAGGAGATGTTATGCTAAAACGCAGACTGCAGAATACAGACTGCAAACTGTGCAGACCGCGAAGACCGTGCAGACCGCGATTTGTTGGCTCCAGAATTTCGACTGTTTCATTTCGCGAGATACTGACAAATTCATTCATGACCTATCACGCAGTTGACTTCGTTAGGTATCCAATTTTACGGTATTATGCGGTTATTTTCAGCTTGAGAAAAAAATGACGTTTTCTCGCTTATGAATTTTTATTTTACCTCTCAGTGGACGTGAAATGAAAGTAAAAAAAAATTTATTTGTGTTTATGAGTAATAGTTTGTCATGTATGCGACAAGTTCTTGCTTATGGGAGACAAGAAGGAAAGCGGAATAGCGAAAAATTGTGGAAACTCCATTCGAAATGAAAAGTTGGTTGCGCGCCGCTTCCTCGAATAATTGCAAGATAATGTTCTCTTGTTATTTGGTTTCTATTTAGAGGGAGCCGGGAACTCAACAGGCTCACCCAAGCAAGGGGATCAATTTTGGCCGGCCGCGCGCAAATGTCCCGCGCAAAATTTTAAACAAAAACAAAGGTAGCAACCGCTGTCACGGAAACTATGTCAAGAAAATTAAACGTTCATAAAAAGTAGAGAAAGCAGAAGTCGACACTCTTCGAGCACAAAACTTATTCAATGACGGGTATCCTGATTATTTAC